GGGATGAAAAATAAGAGAGATTAAAGAATAGAGAGATGTACATTGAGAGAAAAGTAAAGAAAAGGGCTTAGAGAGAAAAATAGAGCATGAGTGCCAAGTAATGTGAGAATCATAAATGAGAAAGGGTGGGAAACAATACCTGGAGTAGTAGTGGACTCCCTCCAAACCGAGTAGTCTCTCGCCTATGAAAAGCATCTAAACCCATCAGAGTTTTGGCCAGGGCCAGACCAATGCAACTCTTACCCTCTTTTAGACATTGGGCCACTTCGATCAGCTTAATGTTAGCTCTGTCATAACTAGAGGCAAGAAGGAAGTGCGCGAGCATATATAAACAGAGGGCATGTTGCCAATAACCTCGCCAGAGGAGGTCACCTCTATCGCTGACGTCAGAAAATCGATGAATTAAGCTGGGTATATCTATCTCCCTATATATTTAAGTTCCAGCCTCTTCGTGTAAAGTGAGCCCACACATCCTTCCTAAAGCCTGGATGTGACCAAAATGGGGCCGGGGTTCTTCTACTTCATCATGCCGGGATTCCATCAGAACATGGAATTCTTCAATTGTAAGGCATATCTCTTGCCCCCCGAAGTTGAAAACATGCATAACCAGGTTCCAACACCTAGTCGCGACATATAGGAACGGAAGACACAGTGGGGTATGACTTAACGCGGAATAGTGCATTTATCTCGAAACCCTGGAAATTCACTTTTTTCGAGCCATCTAAAGTTGCAATCCAATTTGAGAGTCTTTCGGTGACGAATGGCTCCATTTGTGGCAAAAACCAAGATGGAATGAAGAAACTATGAAGTCCTAACTTTTGTAGAAGATAAGGCACTTAGTGGAAGACAGGTGGCAACAATCTCGAGGTCTCTTGCACTGATGGCCGACCGGCCAGTGTTGGTAACTGACCGGCCATCATTGATGGTGAACAGCCACCACTGGTGGCTGATAACCTCTGTTTATGGCCAATGGCCTCCTGGTTGGTCCTTTGGTACATCTATGTGTTGAGAGTGCTAAGAACCTGTGTTTTGTTCTGCTCTTAGTGCATTATGCTGTCTTGTTTTAGTAGTTTTGTTACGTCGTTTCAGTGTTGTTTTTATTTGTTTATTTATTCAGATTTTAATTTTGTTTTTGTAACAAAATAAAATCTGTTTTGTTTTTTATTTATTTATTTTTATTTCGAGTTTGATTTTTGTAATCAAACATATTCTCTCCTTTTCTCTATTTCTTTTATTCTTGTTGTTGTTTTGTACACAACAGAATTAAATCTTTTTAAATACAGTGAAGATTGTCCTACAATAAGTCATGTAGATAACTTTGTAATACTAGCTTGAAGAATGGAATCTAAAAGGAAAGTTAGGGGTACATACATCACTCTTTTTATTTTTATTCGTCTTTTTATAACAAATTAAAAATTAATTAAAATAACAAATTCTCAAACGAGGCCACAATTCACTTCTTGGCTCTTTAACAATCATTCTCTTTGCACCAAATGTATGCATGAGTTTGAGCTTTTTCTTCTTCTTTGTTGACATAGAACTTTTGATTGAAAAGATGCAAGTATCAATGTAAACAATGCTGACTTTGCGGCAAAGTTGAGGACACGGCTGTTTTGGACCCCAACAATTGGTTGAAAAAAAACTATCCCTTAAATAGAAACAAAAAAGCATGTTGATGTAGTAAATTATTTAAAATTAACGGATGATTATTTTCCAAATATATGGTTTGTGTATAGAATGTTATTGACTATTCCTGCTATAGTTGTTTCTGAAGAAATAAACTTTTTAAAATTGAAATTGATTAAATCTTACCTTTGGTCAACTTTGTCACAAGAATAATTCTATGGATTTGATTGTTAAATTGAATTATGTAAGTTTGATTAGTAATTGTACAACTACTAATTTGAGTTTTATACTCTAGAATACAAAAGTTAAAAAATTTTAAATAAAATTTAAATTACCAACCGATTTGATTTTGCAGAAGAAATAAACTTTTTAAAATTGAAATTGATTAAATCTTACCTTTGGTCAACTTTGTCACAAGAATAATTCAATGGATTTGATTGTGAAATTGAATTATGCAAGTTTGATTATTAATTTTACAACTACTAATTTGAGTTTTATACTCGAGAATAGGAAAGTTCAAAAATTTTAAATAAAACATAAATTACCAACCAATTTGATTTTGCAAAAATAAAATAAATAAAATAAAATAAAATAAAATAAAATAAAATAAAATAAAATCAATCCATATTACAAGCTCGCTTTAGAATTATCTATCTATATATGTATAAAAGGCCTATGTTAAAAAACTTGATTTGGGTGTTGAAAAAGTCGGCAAATTTTCATTTTTTATTGCTTATTCACGCATGCATTCATTAGAATTTTCATTTTTGTTGTTTTATAGACTCTAGGCAATAATTTAATTTTTGCTGTTTTTAAATTTTGCATTTGTTATTTTTGTAGACTTTGGAGTGCTTGACACAAATATGGAGGCAATAGGGAGGAAAATGGTAAAGTTGTGTGCTGGTTTACCGTTAGCAATCATTGTGCTTGGTGGACTTTTGGCAACAAAGCATACATTAAGGGAATGGGAGGTTGTATACCAAAATGTTCGTTCGCAAAAATGGAGTGACGACCCCATACAACATGACAATGGAGTATCAACGGTGTTAGCTTTAAGCTACCATGACTTGCCTTATCAATTGAAGCCATGTTTTTTGTATTTTGGTCACTTTCCGGAGGATTATAGGATAAATGCTGAAAGACTATATCACTTGTGGATAAGTGACGGCATAATTGTAGATGATGATAGAGTGGGAGATGAAACAATAATGGATGTGGCAAAACGTTACTTGGGTGCGCTTGCACAGAGGTGCATGGTTCAAGTACAAGTACAGGACTATACTCAAAGGATCAATGATTGCCGCATTCATGACCTTATGTTGGAGCTGTGTTTATCAAAGGCAAAAATGAATGATTTTCTTGGGATCATTCATCTCCAACGTGAAACTGATCTAGCTAATTGCTTTTCCACCACAACATCAACAACTACTGCTCCTAAAATACGCAAACTTGCAATTCATTTGAATAGGGATGTCAAAAGAGTTGTCCTCCCTGAATTGGAGACAACTAAACATCTAAGATCCATATTGTTCTGCAATTCAAGGAGTGTCAACAGCAAGTCTTCAATAGAGTTGAACTCCCATTTGAAGTACTTCAAATTGCTTAGGAATTTGGATCTTGAAGCATTTAAGTTTGATGAAAAGTCAGTCGAATCAATAGGCAACCTAATTAGTTTGAGGTACTTGAGTTTTAGAAGTTGTTCGATACCGAAATGGCATTCTGTCTATCTGCAAGTTGAAACACTTGCAAACCTTGGATTTACGATTTTGTAAGTTCAACTCAGGTGAAGTAATAGTCATACATGGAATGGAACAATTGAGGCATTTGTATATTCTGTCGATCCTCAATCTCAATGTTGAATTCGAATTTGATGGGTTGAGCAACCTCGAAACATTAGGAGGGTTTAACACACGGTCTTGTGACGTCAATGATCTGTGTAAATTGATCAATCTTCGGCAACTAGAAGATGCAACTTTCTGGAAGATGGACAATCAGGACTTAGCGGCTTTCATCAACTACCTAAGCATCGGTGCCGACCACCTCCGACAAACATCCTTATCAGTTGAATTTTGCAAAAAAGATGAAGAAGAAGAAACGAGAGTTGACCTTCTCAAACAACTGTTGGGTGTCACCATCTACAAGATGGTATTCATGGAATAATGCATCGAGGTACCATGATAACTGCCAGGGTTTGTCCCCACATCTCATCGAGTTTAAGCGTTGTGTGATTGTAGCTTGAAAAGACCCGCTTATGACTCAACATGAGAGGCTACCTAACCCTACAATATCTCAGTTAGGTATTGTGTTTTGCGGGGACAAATGGTTGCTACTCCTAATGGACTTTTCCCCAACTCAAAACACGGGTGTGTTTGATTGGGGGATAAAGGGGGGACTATCCAAACTAATTTGGACTCCATGTCCGGCCTCCCTCCTTAGTCCGTTGTTTGATTTTTTTTTAGTGATCCAGCGGACTCCATTGTCCGGCCCGGACTCCATGTTCCCCCAGTATGGGGATATTCTGGTCCTGGGGGGGGTGGGATGTTGGGGGACTAATCACTGTGTTGGATTAGAGCGAAATGTAATTTTGACCCTCTTATTATTTAATTGATTGTTATTATGTTAATAAAATTTTAATAAAATTAAATGTCTCAATTTAAAAATAAAATAATTTATTATCTTTATTAATGTTTATTTATTTTAATTTTTTAAAATAATTTTTATAGATATTTATTGATGTTTATTTAAATTTGTTTATGTTTATTAATTTCATTATTAAATGTATAGATGTTTTAATAGAGTTTTTATTTAAACAATTAAATGTTTTAATTTCAACAATAAATAATTTCATTTATTTAAATTATGTTTTTATTTTAATACATTTTAAAAATTTGTACATCAACATGTTTTTTAAATTATTCAAGATGCTGTACATCAAATGTATATTTATTAACATCTATTAAATTATGTTTTAATTACGTCAACATTTGATTTACACTACATTTGTTATTGTAATTTACATCAACATTTGTTGTAATGTGTAAACATAATTGTACATCAACATTTATTTAAATGTTAATTGTTAGATTGTTGTTAAACATAAATCTGTACATCAAATAATTTCATGTTAATTTTGTAAAATAAAAATTTAAAACATGTTAACCATTAGTTGTTTTAATTTCAACAATAAGATTTTTATTTGTTTAAATTAAAATATATCTGTACCAGTTCAATTTGTTTATTCAATATAGTATGTTTAAATATCTTTTAAACAGAATTTAACCATTATATGTTTTAAGTTTACTAAAAATTAATTAAAATATTAAAGAATGTTTAATATTGCTATTACTTATAAACAATGAAAAAGGTAAAACAGTCTTTGCATTCTATCCAGTCCGTCCAAACCAAACGTTGGATTCACTGAAAATAGTCCATTCCAGACATCTGAATTCCCATGAAAAAACAAACACAGATACATATCCAATACCGACCAAATAGTCCGAGGGATTCACAGTCCAGGACTCAGTCCGATGGATTCTAACCTCATTTTCTAGTCCGTCCAATCAAGAACACACCTATAATTCTCTCTGTTTTGATGCATTTAAAAGAGTGGGAGCTGGAAAAGGAGCCATGGACAATCTCTCTACTTTGATATTATTTGCGGACTAGAAAAGGTTCCGGAGGAACTGAGATTCATGCTACCCTTCAACATATTTACAACTTTTTCGTATGACCGAAGAATTTAACAATAACAGGGCTTCGAAGGGTCATATGGTGAAGAAGGAGAAGTTTTTACAAAGTGCACAGTGTTGTCTTCCCTCAACATTATTCAGGTAAATTCGTAATTCTGGATAATTTCTTTCTTTCACAGAGACGAAACAACTGTTGGGTCTCTTATCATTTCTTTCACATTCCCTCTATTAATTCTTCATCATAAATAATTGTTAATATATATATATATCTCTCTCTGCTTTTTTTTTGCGTTCCATATGGCTTTAGGGGTGGACAAATTATCATAGAATCAGAAAAAACTAAACCAAACCGAAATATTTGGGTGAATTTTGGTTTTTTTTTTTAATTACATCGGTTTAGTTTTGAGTCTTCCAATTCTATAATTCAATAAGATTTGGATTAATTTTTGGTGTAGGTTTAGTCAGCCTCGAACAAACCTGATCACCAATATTATATTTTAATATATTATAATGATTCAATTCCTCATCAAAGCTTGCGAACTCTAGGATACGATCCTAATGTTGATACTATATAGATATATAAATAAATGAAGCTTTCATTTTTCTTTTTAGTGATAACTCATGTGTCCCCAACCTCTGATTTTTAAAGAAAGCCAGGACTTATCCCTGAGGGGTATGTAGCCGGTGTGGAAAAGCCGGACACCTTTTGCAAACTGCCTGCAACTTATTTTTAATGCGACTTAATTGCACACTATCATGTCTCACTATTTGTTTGATTTTCAATCATGATATTGGAATCATCAGAAGAGAATGGAAAGGAAGAAGAAAAATACTAGAAGTACAGTTGGAACTTGCCGTGTCGGTACTTATTTTATTTGTTAATTGTTATCTGATTTGAATATTTTGGTTGATTTAAACTTCTGAGTTGGCTTCACTATACTATTCACAACTGTCAAGCTTGTATTAAACAATATTTTACTTTATGTTTTGTGTTAAAATTAAATATAAAGACATGTTTATTTTATTATGTTGTTTCAATGCATGTTCATTTAAATATGTTCTAAATTTATATATCACTCAAACCAAACTAACCCAATCACACGCCCTCTATTGGTCATATCCATAAAAAAAAATTAATACAAGACTTGAGCTAAGATTTTTTTACAATAGATCCCTTATAATAAGATTTTTTATAAGAAAACAAGCAAGCCCATAAGTTTATTGTGAGGAGGACAACACTGTGAACACACATAATCCAATTACTAAATAGCTAATTATTTTTTTAACTTTTTAAATACCAATTTTTGATCAAAATTTTATTTTTTAAGAATAATAATATGAAGTACATATACTTCGATCATATCTTATCCTTATCGTCGTCT